GTGTAGTTATTTACTACGTTTATGCTCCGCCCATCTCTGCTTAGATTAGTTGGTTGTTATTTGGCTGTTGAAGGACATTGCAGAGAGCCCCCTGGTGGGCAAACTGTGTAATGTCAACACTCATTACATGGTTGAAGGCTGTTTCTCCATTTCTTCTTTACTTTTATTTCAGTTTAGTAATATAAATGCCGCCACTGATAAATCAGCAAATAGCCAGTATCATACAATAAAATCAACCCACCGATAAATCGATTGGGCTGTAGTCTTCCTACCAGTGGATCTCAGATTGTGACACAGTGGGGTGTGTCTGCATTAAGCTGTCCACTGACGGCAAACAGAATCGTTTTTATGATTGACGACTTTGGAATCATTTCCTAAATAACAGCACAGTAGCCTTGCGTAAAAGAACATCCTAAAGCTGTTTTGTAACTGTTGCTCAAGTTTTAAAAGAAATGAAAGCTTTACAGTTAATAAAGAAAAAGGAGGAATTGGTCCAGGAAACTGGATGGCCACAGGAACGTAGGGCCTTCTGCAATATTCAGTTGACTATTTTTAACCAGAACACTAAGATGCATCGTTGATAAAATATTAACACAATAGTTGCTTTATTATTAGCAGAAAACAACTTGAAGTTTCCTGTATTTGTATAACCAGCCCCAGGAATAGGCGCTGCTGTCCAAAGTGTCCAATCAGCTGCGGAACAAGGCATCTCAGCAGCCATGGTAAAAATCCAGGTTTGTGCAGATAATACTGTGTATTTTAATAAATGTCATAACGGTACTTTGACTTTGTTTTAAATGTATGCATTTGTCTCTAAAGGAAATGTCCGGCCAGCAGCAAAGCTATTCCTCAGAGTCCGACTTCGACTTTCCTCCCGATGACAGCGCATTCAACGCTTCAGAGTTCAGGGATGAAGGTGCAGACTTCACAGTGGATCACTCAGGAAGCAGCAATGACGCAGCAACAGGGGCGAAGCATGCCAGTGGGGAACACTCAGTATTTGAAGGATACAAAGACCCCAGCAAACAGTTCAGTGGGCACACCAGATCCTACCACCAAGATGTGAGGTAAGAATGGTTGTGCCATAAACGAGTCACTGCTGCCAGTTATGGGGGATTAAGGTAATTCTCTTTGCTTTCTCTGTGGCAGACTTCTTAGTGGACGTCAGCTCTACAACCACAGAATGAACAAACATGTGTGGAGGCAGCTTTACTTTCAGCATCCTGTCAGTCAGTTCAGGAGCTACCATCAGGACCCATCCACGATGGGGGGATTGACGGCCGAAGACATCGAGAAAGCTCGAGAGAGCAAGGGGACTGATGGAAAACCACATAAACAGATGGTAATTCCTCTTTCTCATTTCCTGTTTGTTGAACACAAAGATACTCGTGTAAACGCTTCATTTCTGCTATTGGTTTCAAATTTTAATGGAAAGTCACAATGCATTGTGTCTTCTTCAGCTGAGTGAGAGAGCCAGAGAGAGGAAAGTGCCCGTGACCCGGATCAGCAGATTGGCCAACTTTGGAGGTACAGCATTACACTGCGTCTGAGTCATGGATGATTCAGTGGATGTTAATATCTGGCTGTATCTGTAGTCGTGCAAGTCTGCATATACATCAGCAGCAAAGTAAAGCTTTGTGTGGCTGGACCTCAGCTTTTAATGGTCCAGATGACATTTATTGGATCCTACGTTCAAACTAATATTTGAAAACAGAGTGAATTTTTTTTGTGTTCTTTCTGATTACACAGAAGTCAAAGTGAGTCTCTATTAGTTGAAAGATCTAGTTGTGTTGGTGAAATGTTGTCTAATTGTTGAGCTTCCTTTGTGCTTAATAATATATAAAAACTGAGTTGGTAAAATTCTATTCACCTAATCTTTTAACCTCCCACTTACCTTTTTAGATGAGGTCACTGGTGTTAAGACAATACTAATAAATTCACGTGGACTACATAAGGCCATATGTAAATGGCAGCGAATACAAAAACAAAGCCCTTAAAGGAACCGAAGTAAACAAGACATTGAGAAATGTGTGTAACATGCTTGTCAGACCTTGGAGCCGCACTCAAAACAAAAACCTCTAGATATGAGGTCAAGCTTCCGCAGCCTTTTCTTTAACTAATCTGCTCCTGTTGAGATAAAAGCATGCCCTGTTAGGCAGCTACAAGCTGGCACAGCGAGACACCGGCAGCCTGAAAGGGAGTTCTGCAATCGTGCAGCCATAAAAGGAATGAAATGTGTTTGACTTTGTAGTGCACACGGCTGTTGTTAATCTACTATTTCACCACGTTCACAGTTTTCCATTTATTGTCTGTGACACATTTAATGAATAAATTAATGCAGTTCAGTTATATACATTAAAGAAAAAATCCAAAATTGATTTTTAAAATTTAACATTCTCTGTCTGGTTTACAATATACTCACTTGCCACTTTTTTTACGCACACCAGTATGAGGTTGGACCTGTTTTTATTTTTTAGAACTGTTTTAATTATTTGCGGCATAGATGCAACAAGGTGATGGAGACATTTATTAGACATTCTGGTTAGAATTAGACGATCGAATCGCACAATTTCTCCAGATTTGCACATCCATGATGCGAATGATCCCGTTCCACCCCATTCCAAAAGTGGGTTGTGGTATTTAATGATGCATGGAGGCACAGATCCAAGAATGGATCCGTGTTTTCATGTTGTTTACGCTAAATTCTGACCCTACCATCAGAGTGCTGCAGCAGAAATCAAGACTCATCAGACCAAACAACGTTTTTCCAGTCTTCTTCTGGTCAATTTTTGGTGAGCCCACGTAAATTGCAACTCAGTTTTCTGTTTGTAGCTGCAAGACTGGCACCTGGTGTGATCTAAGACTGCTGTAGCTTAGCTGCTTTACGATTCAGTGTGGTTTGCCTTCAGAGATGATTTTCTGCATACCTTGGTGGCAGCAAGTGCTTTTTTGAGTTATTGTTGCCTTCCTGTCAGCTCAAAGCGGTCTGGCTCTTCTCTGACCTCTGACATTAACAAGGCATTTTCAGCCAGAGAACTACAGCTCTCTGCATACTTTCTTTTTTTCCCACCATTCTCTGTAAACTCTAGAGATGGTTGTGTGGGCAAAACCCCAGTTTTCCCAGTTTTAACTCACCATTCTTCCCGATTCTGATACTCAGTTTGAGCTTAAGCAGGTCATCTTGATTGCTGTCGTTGACTTTATTGACTGATTAGACATTTGTGTTAGTAATCAATTGAGCGCGTCTAATAAAGTGGCTGGTGAGTTAACCATTAGCCAAAGGTTCAATGTGTATCTTCCAGAAAATGACTGAAGTCATCAGCCTGCTACTTGTTGACTTACCTTACAACACTAGAGGCTAGCTGCCTGACGTTGGATGACTTTCTTGCTAACCTTGTTGCTAGCAACATTTGTGTTTTATTTTGTTTCTTTGTTTTTGTGTTGTTTTTTATTGTGGAGTTTGTGTTGCAGTGTGAGTTTACCCTCTTTGTTGACGTTGGTGATTAGGGGACGCAATTTCTAAGCTAACATTAGCTAACGTTGCTAGTTTTGAACATTGAGAGCAGAGGCAAGGTCCTGAAAAAAGACCTCAGCAGCAAGCATAAACACTTCAGAGGCAACAGAGAGCGCTGTGGGAGATCAGCTTTTACATTCTGTTCACACATTAATAGTACAAGACATTTAATACATAAAAAAACACTTCACATTATTCAGTCAGTAAGTTTAAACATATCAAGTGTCTCTTCTAATCCTCCAAATTGTGCCACGACAGGATGTTTTTTCAGTGCTAATCTTACTCAAGGCTCTAATGTTCACACAAGCACAGCAAAGAGCTCACAGCTAGCCTCAGAAGTCGTTTAAGAGAACTGATCGGCAGCTTTTGTGTTAGGAACTTCTCCTCAGACAGATGATGGATCTGTCAGCAGGAGGCACAGAGTCAAACCGAAGCCAGAAATGTGAACGCGAATATAAAGTGGACAGAAGTGAAACATGAACAGCCTCACATAAGTCAGCATGGACCATCGACACTGCAGAATTTAGCCACAGCTCATTCCAAACAAGTTGGAATTGCAGGGAGCCGCGGCAGGTAGAGAGCTGAGATGATTCAGCATGTTGACAGCGGTAACATTTAGAAGGTGTTGAAAAGAGGAGGCGATGCATGAGCCTGGCCTTGACCCCGTCCTTCACTCCCCTACAACATTTGGCAACAAAGTCAGACAAGGCAAAAAGCGCTAAACCGATTCATTGCGTGGCATCGGCCTCCTCTCGCCGTCACCTTTCAAGTCACCATTTTCAAAGCTTTTGCTGACAGTGCAGTTTGGTTCTGACGAGAATATGCACCGCAGTCATTTTTGCAAACACGTACCTTTTCTTGAGATCGAATGATGGACAGACACTTGTGCGTGGTCTGGAAAACAAAATATGTCACTCAGAGATGCTGCTAGAAATGCTGATCTCTCTTTGGCTTGACAGTTGCACATGCTGACATCATACAGTTTTATAGGTACAGTCACGTAACCGACTGCCTCATATTCGGTGTTTAAATCTGTGCATTGCAAATCCTCTCTAAACCAGGAAACAAAACACAGGCACATGACATTACTGTGAAAGGAAAAGTTACACGTTAAGTTACACACACACACACACACGAAGCAATGATGAATAAGTGCTCAGTTGACTTGTATACATGACACTGAAGCACACCGCGTCCCCATTTGTCCGTCCACCGCTGCCTCTCTGCTTCAGAGAGGCCGCTGACTAACTGATTATGTAACGTTGAGTTATGTAAGTTAGAAGCAAGCTCAGAGGAACTTCACAAACAACCGCCCACTTGCGCAAACTCTTTCTTTCTTTCTTTTTTTTAAACCCCCAAATTCCAAAAAGAATGAAGTTTTCCAAAAGCTTTCAGTTTTTTTGACATTATTTCCACATGCTGTGTTGGATGCAGCTGTTACCACTGCAGCCATTGCCAAATACTGACACGATCAAAGGCTTTATTTGCTTTCTATTTTTGTCATATTTTCTGTTGCATATGTTTTATTTTGATAGGAGTGATAGGAGTTGCAACAGATGGCCTCGATTAGTCAGGTTATTTACACTCATCACAGAGCAGAGGTGAGGGTCCCGTTAAAGCCGCAGCCTGTCCATACTCTGATTTACTAAAAGGATTTTTTTTTATACATACGCTGCATGATTTGTGTTTTACTGTCAGTGTAGATGTGAGCTTTGTTTTGTTCTTTTCATCAATTTAAAAAAAAAAAACAGCACAACATCATCAGATGACGCATTCAGTGCTTTAAAATGTGTTGTATTTGTGTGTTAATGATGAAAACGCATTGGTCTTTGTTGTTGTAATACATTGGTATGTGTTTTGGTTTTTCTGTGTGTTTGCACCAGGTCTGGCTGTAGGTTTGGGTATTGGAGCTCTAGCAGAATTCGCCAAGAAGAGCATCAGACAAAACGGCGCAGAAGGTAACACTCAGAAATGCGCACACGCACACACACGCCTAAGTGGCTCGAGCAGTGAGCGGGATTTACACGTTACAGCTAAGAAATGGATGAAAACCTTACAGTTTGCTTTTAAAACACTGGTATATTTATTCATTTTTTACATGACGCTCATTCTTAACAGTAGTATACACAGAAAAAAATCTTAGTAATGTTGTGGTGAGGACTCCTCACGGTGCGTTTGTTTTTGGTATGTGGTAACAACATGCAGAGATTTTGCACCAGCATTCCTATGAATTGCCCTCAGCACCAATCCCTCTTGCATGTTATTACATGTTGGACACTTCAATTAGGCCATCTCCCTCACAGCCTGCCCCCTAAACAGACGTCCCTGCTCTGCTTCGTCAACCTGCTAATCCTGAAACACAGGCTAAGCTGAAACAGAGCGTACAGGCGTAAATCTGGCATTTATGCATCTGTTTGTTGCTATTTATTTTTGTGTGCGCTTTAATCCCAGGCACACACTGAACACGTGTGTGTGTCTGTGTGTGTGTGTGTGTGTGTAATCTTCATTAAAGCCTCTGAAGGCAGCTTCAGATGTACCAGAGCGTACTACCTGATGACCTACTGACACACGTACACAGTCACACCCCTCACACATTGGTACAGTCAGATCCACAGCGCTGTGTCCCATTTACCACAGATGTCGGATACCGGAGCTGCGAGTAACATCACTCCCAAGATATGCATGTTCTAGCAGTAAAGCTGGAAAAGCAAGAGAGGCATTCATGCTAAGGATGACTATCTTGATAAGGATAGTCACATGCATCACTAGCAGGACGGCTCAACTCTTCTTTTTCTTTTTTGTTTTTACGCACTACCAGTGTTCTGCATATAGCTTATATAGCAAGTCACAAATACACAACAGTAGTCCTGCACATTGCAAATACGGGGTAGGCTTAAATGTAAGGACTCTCTAAAATTGTCCATAATTCCTAAATGTTGCACGAAATATTTCTGTTAAATCCTTGAATTAAAGCGTTTGTCCTTCAGTCAAATCCTTGCTGCCTTATTTTAAATTAATTGTGTTGCTGCATAGAAGAAAAACAGTAAATGTGACACAAGAACTTGTGAACCTGACTGTGCACACAAGCACAGACCAGTCTTGACAAAACTTTGCAGAAACATTGCCTACTTCATATAAATGTGAGTGCCCACATCTGTGTGGCGTATACAAATCCCACGATCGTATATATTTGTAGAATTGGGCACGGCGACCTTACGACTACTATCACGGTGGCCACTTTTGTTGATGTTTAGTTTCTGCACGGCCTACATTTGTTACAAATTTTTTAATCTTTCTGGAGCAGATTATCAATCAAGTTATCAAAATAAAAATAATAAAATAAAAATGTTCAAAGGCTAAAAAAATAGCAGAGGAGAGCAGACAACTATGTGGGGATAAGTTTAAATTCAAAATATGTGTCACATGACCAAACAAGCACTTCAGGTGCAAAATCTGTCTGTATGGAAAAGCAAATGCATACAAATACTTAATGAAATCTGTGAAACATTTTATGTAATCACAATTAAGAAAAGTAAGTATGATTTTACAGTTATTGTTTATTGACCTGCTGATTGGATTAACATGCATCACAAAATGCACTACATGCAAATGTAATACTTTTTTTTGTCTTCAGGTGAAAACAGGAAATCAGTTCTGGACTCGAGCCCTTTCCTGTCCGAGGCCAACGCTGAGCGCATTGTCAGAACTCTGTGCAAAGTCAGAGGAGCTGCATTAAAGTTGGGACAGATGCTCAGCATTCAAGGTGAGGGACGGACATAGTCGCATTGAAATTTAGATTTTTTTGTAAAGTTTTCTGCTTGTGAATAAAAAGCATTCCTTACCCTGGATTCTGTGAAGGGAAACGCTCTATATACAATCACAGTTTTCAGACTGATTATTATGGTGCAGGTTAGCTTGAGTGTGTGCTGTAGTAGCTGAGAACTTGTAAACTGACTAAGAGTTGGCACAGAGGACTTTTTGGTGAGTTTTTTTGTTTAGTTTCTTTGCTGCGGCCCTGTGTTGGCTCTAACCTGCATTTAGGTCAGTGCTTGTACACAAACAGATAATCGGAGAGCGAGGCCAGCGGCAGTAAACAAAACGACCAGTGAGTTACTGAAGCCGTGTCAGGTAACAGCAGTAAACCCATCATCACAACTTTGTTTAGCTCTGTTGCTACCTCTGCCCAACCTTGACTTGGTGACCTTTTCCTTTGGTATTCGTGCCATCTTTGCCTGAACGTGCAGTAAATATAATAAGCCATGAAGACGGTAGCAGGAGAGAGGAAGGCAGCGGCTTCAAAAAAGACCAGGTCAGTCCACTGTGCTGAGACCTGTTGAGCAGTGTTACCATGTCTCTCAAGTGGTGACAAACTGCAGTTTCGAAGTGTGGCTGGGTCAGGGGTTAATGTAATATTCTGTTGGTGGACACACACAATCTCTCTGCTCTTTTCACAGAAAATGTAAAAAGCTAAAATGGATATTATAATAATAATAATAATAATAATAATAATAATAATAATAATAATAATAATAATAATAATAATAATAGTCTGCGGTTGACTATATTGCAGAGGATAGAAATCCTTGCAGTCTTTGTCCTCTGCTGACATTTATCTGCCATGGCAGGAATGCAGTGATGGGCAGATGATTGTGTGTTCAGCCATTGTGCTCTTTTAGCACAGCGCTCAAAACGGTGTTAACCTCGAGAAGTCTGAAACTGTTAATAAAGTCTTTAATCCTGGTTACATATATCTTCTACAGCGCCGGCCCAAGTCAACATTAGACACTGGCATCAGTTTACACAGTCGAGTCTGATTTAACTCGCTCATTATGATTATGATTATGTGGTTTATTGTACTCAAGCAGTAAAATCAGGCAATTATTAAGAGTATTAAAGCTTGATTGCTGTATGTGCTCTTTTATGTAGTATCTACCATTTTCAGTCCCATTAAACAAAGTACTAAACTGTACTTTTACTACACATTTTAGAAGGAAACTACACAGCAATTTAATCTACACATTATATCGATGTGTCTGGCTTAATTGTTTATGATAAATTGCTGAGTAATTGCACAATTACATTTGTGCTGTTACTCTATATTCCAACTGCTCTCACACTCACACTGTGAGTTTTGCTTTTGACAGCTCCGCTTGTGTTTATAAGCGGACCCACAGCTTCACAATCCGCTAGCAAACTGTTGCCTTTGATCATTAACTCATGTCTGTAAAGTTAAGTTGACTCAAGCTGCAAGTATAAATAAAGCACGTCTGATAAGAACAGGTGACCCACAAGCCAGTCAGCTGAAAACTGCATTTCTCAGTCTGTATTTGATGCACGTTTCTCTCAGATTTCTCACAACCGGCTGCACTTAAATCAACGAGAGTCCTCTGACTGTAGCGAGGCTCATGTTCAGTTCTGCACTACAGTCACTAAGAGCAGGATCTGTGTTTGTGCACTGGCCTGTGAGAGAGAGGGAGAGCTGCCCCTCACACACTGGCTCAGAGAGAGAGAGAGAATGTTTTTTTGCATCAGTTTTGCATCATGCAGTGTCTAAATGTTACTTTGATCTTTGACGATTAGGCTCTGGTGCCTGTTTCGTACGTGTTTCAGCACTCACTCCTGTGTGTCGTTCATGTTTTTTGGGTTTTTTTCTAAAGTAATGGTGCTGCTCAGGTTGCGTTATGCAACACAATATGGCAGTGAAAAAATAAGCAAATGGGTTTGCTGATGTTATCACGCTGACCTTATTTAACAGGAGTTGAACTTGGATCATTCTTTATGCTCAATGATTGCTCAAAGTTGTGGGTAGAGGAGCATGTTTGGATTTTTTTTTTCCGTTGGTTTGTTTTTTTAGCTTTTATGAGGGGAATAGCAGAATGTTTGAGAACCACTTAATGTAATCTGTAATTAAAGATCTCACGATGTTTTTATGTTTCAGATGACGCTTTCATCAATCCTCATCTTGCCAAGATTTTTGAGCGTGTGAGACAGAGTGCTGACTTCATGCCAATCAAACAAATGACAGTAAGACTGATAGTTATGCCATTTCCTCAGCAACTTATATTTTATTTAATGATTTGAAGTAATGAAGTAGTATTACATTGCGATTCCTCCCCCTGGCTGTTTTGGAAGACTTTTTTTCCAGTGATGTTAAAATCCTACTTGCTCCTGTCTGTCTGCAGAAAGCACTGAATAGCGATTTGGGCCCAAACTGGAGGGACAAGCTGGAAATGTTTGAGGAACGCCCTTTTGCGGCAGCGTCCATCGGGCAGGTTCACCTTGCACGGATGAAGGATGGCAGGGAGGTGGCCATGAAAATACAGGTTAGGATAAAAACATGTGACACTGCGTCCTCGTGTTGTCAACACTCGCTTAAACTTGCATGCATACAGGAAACGCATAATCTGATTATCAGATGGCTGCGTTTCCTTACAGAGGAACATGTGAGCTAGTTATCTCATGCTTTTACTGAATAAAATAGTTTTATTGCTGTGCTGTTTATAGTAAATATGATTGTGTGATCAAATTAAACAAAGTGTTTGAATGTTTCTCTCTCTGTCTGTTGTCTTCAGTATCCTGGTGTGGCTCAGAGTATCAACAGTGATGTCAACAATTTGATGACGGTGCTGAATATGAGCAATGCCCTGCCTGAAGGTGTATACACACACACGCACACAGCATCCTCTTCATCTCCCCGTGTCTGCTTCTCTCTACCTGTTTCTGAGTTACTGTTTCCACGACTAGTCTAATGTTTTTGTCCTGTTTTGTTTGTGTCTGTAGGTCTGTTTCCAGAGCACCTGATAGATGTCATGAGAAAAGAGCTAGCCCTGGAGTGTGACTATATTAGAGAAGCCCAGTGTGCAAGGAAGTTCAGGTATTATGCAGCAAATGTTGTTGTAATCTGAAAGCCAAGCTTGAGAAATATTTTTTCCTTTAATTAAATTACTAAAGAAAATAATTTTTAGCTCATATGGCCAAAGGATTCGTGAGCTCATGCTATGGCAATTTGCAAGAATTGCTTTTCCTGGGGCATTGCTCAGATTTTAGTGATCACCTAATAGGTCTTCACCCAGATTGTGGTCAAATTTGAGGTTCTGAGTGGATTTGAATTTCTACTAATTTAGCAATA